CCCGAGTGATATCTGCACTTGGCTTAAATTTCATTAGTCAGACCCGTGCCGACAATCGAGCTTAAGGTAATATTAAGAAGAATATTAAGAAGACCCTAATACATCAAGCCAAGCCGGTTGACTAAATATATCTTTTTCACTATAGTGTTTAATGTAATAAACTCGAGTACCAAATACCCAATTCTAAACGAATAGCTCGCTTGAAGAGCTCATATATGACTCTCATTTGATATATTGAAATATATGTATATGCAAGTACCATCAGTATCAGTAAACTCATAGCTGAAACGGGTATAACAATGCTCGCATACAGCACGACGAGCTCAAAGCCACACACTCACTCACAGCCTTACACGCACACACTTACCCAGACACCCTTACACATACTCACACACTCAGCTACTGCAGTTGACAGAGGCGACAGTTTGAAAGAGAGTGGTCAGAAAGAGGGGGAGGCGACAGGAAGGCGGACAGATGGGCCAGTCACTTCCGCTTGCAGGCGAGGGCTGTCCATTTTATAATACCCTTTTTTATTTGAGCTCTTTGGGCTTTTGTTGCCGGGGCAGTTGCTTGATTTGCATTTGCATTTGAGCCCTGTGCCCAGCCTCTGGCCACTGGCCAATGGCAGCCAGCAGCTGAGCTGCTAGCTGCAGCATAATTATGGATGCCGCTGAAAGGACGAAGGACTAGGCCCAGCTAGTTTGTTATGCATTCGCCGGGTCACTAATGTTGGCACATGATGATTTCTTTCGAGTGCAAACTTGGCCAAGACTGCTCAGCAATCAGTGAGTGGGGCAAGTTCCTCCGACACTCCGATAAACTCTGAACGAACTGAAGCCTTTAAGCCGCTTACCACAAACTTTTGGATAGTTTTGGCTTGTTTACTTCGTAAAAGGCACTTTGGTACACAAAGTGCTAACAATTAAACGCAAATGCTTTATACGGGGTAAATACTGAAGTTTACTCTCTGCTGCTGTTTAATAAGAAAGACAAGCATCGGTCGATAGGCCGAAATATTTCATTTCATTTGAGTATTTGCAATTGAGGAGCAGCAGCTCTCTCCAGTTCCTGCGAAGTTTCCCAAGCTTTCCACTGCATATGAGCATCTTTCAGCACATATATATGTGCATGCAATTCAATCAATTTTCTTCAAATATGTCCTCAAAATTAACTTTTACGGGACAGAAAATTGAGCTGCCGAAAATTCTCGAGATGATTATATTATTATTA